GTAGGGTTAAGGGTTAGGGTTAGGGTAAGGGTTAAGGGTTATAGTTAGGGTTAGGGTTAGGGTTATAGTTAGGGTTAGGGTTAGGGGTTAGGGTTAGGGGTTACGGTTAGGGGTTAGGGTTAGGGGTTAGGGTTAGTGTTAGGGTTAGGGTTAGGGTTCCTTTTGGTGCAGTGTTACACATAGGACAGGAGGGTAACTACAACATTCAGTAAATACCTGCTTCCCGTTATGTCCCACTACTAGGTCCTGGGGTTACCACACTAAAGAAGACATAAGGTCCCTCCTTACTACCTTACAATCTCTTTCTTTATCTCTCAGCCTCGAGTTTGAAGGGGAAAAAAATCTGGATAACAGTGGAAGGTGAAATGATAGTCAAGTAGTTTAGGAAAAGAGGATGCTAATCTACCCTCAAAATCTGAAAGCAGTATTGTACTTGTAAACTGGCTCTGGTAGGGGAGGGGAAGACCCAGTTTGGGTTATTTGCCAATTTCTGTAGTAAACACTCCCCCACAGTTGATTTCAAGCTATTGATGGTCTGTCAACTGGCTCACAAAATTCCTGAATATTTAACAACTGGCTCTCCACTGGGCTAAGGTTTTCAGGTCGAATTTTTTTAAAAGCAAAGCTTAACTCTATGCTGGCTACAAGAGAAGTATTTTACATGTAAGACACAAATAAATTCTAAGTAAAGGAATGGAAAAAAGGTATTTATGTTAACACTAATAAAAAGAGAGTTGGCGTAACTATTTTAGTATCAGACAAAGTGTATTTCAGGGAAATGAATATTACCAAGGATAAAGAAGGTCCTTTCATAATGATAAATGGGTCGGTTACTTGAAGGACATGACAATCCTAGGAAAGGCTAAGTTATCATAGTAGAAGGCAGACCGCTGATCAAGCAGGTCTCCCACTGAGCTGCAGAAGCACCTTGTTGTTGGCTCGCATACAATGCTGGGGTGCGGGAAGTTGAAGGAGGGTGAACTTGAACTTCCTACCATTCTGGGGCATAAGGGTTTGAGCTAGTTTTATTTAAAGAGAAGGAACCAAAGAGCTATTCTTAAATCCTAAATGTTTGATTGTGAAGCAATTCATAAAACATATAAAAAATTTTTGTTAAAAGTCAAAGTTGGGACAACTCAAAAGTCAAGAGAGGTGAGATTTGTTACTACCAATCCTTCCAGCCTTCTCTCAGGCACTTTCCCCATCTTATGACTCTAGTCCAGCTGGCCTGATTGCAGTTCCTAAACTATACCATTCTCTTTCTTATTTTAGGATTCTATGCATCCTAGAGGTTGCTCGTCTCCTACTCTGCCTGCCTAACTTTCTCATTCCCCAAAACTCAACTTTTATATCATTTTTCTGGGAGAAGTCTCCCCAATTCTCCTTGACTAGTTATGATCTTTCTGCAATTATCATTGGAATCACTCATCACAATTATATAAAAACAGCAAGAATACTCATGAACCTTTTTATAGCACTTACTGCTGCCAAGAATAGTTCTAAGATGGTTTACATGTACTAACTCAATTCTCACAACAACCCGATGGGAAAGACACAATTATTATTGCCATTCTGCAGATGAGGAAATAGGCACAAAGTCTCGTTCACAGGCCCCCTCCAGTTAGAAAGTTGCAGATTCAAATCCAGGCCCTCTGGCTCCAACATCTTTGACTCTCATTTTCTGTCTTGTCCTCAAAACTGTAGGTGCCACGAGGGCAGAGCCTATGCTGTACGTTCATTACTGTACCTCTTGCACCTGACAAAGTGCCTGCCACACTGTGGATTCTCAAAACAGTGTGTCGAACTAACAAACGGATGAATGAATGAAGCAGCAGAATAAATCGATACTATGGACAAACCACATAATGAAATAGTTTTATAAAAACGTGAGATCTCAAAGTGCCTGAGACTAGTCATTCCTTCCCCTTTCTGGCTCCTTTAGCAGAATCTACCGGGCTCACATCCTCTCTGGTGGTGGGGGGGGAAGCTAGGCTTGGATTTGCACCTAGGGCATGGAGTTCTTGCTAGACCCCAGGCTAATGCAGGCATTGAAACTGAGTAGGATCATGTAGGGCCTTCCCAGGGACAGACACCCCTGTTCCCCATGTCCCCTGACTCTTGTTAGTAGAAAAGCTTTAGTTTCTTAGGTCTTTCCTGAGTTCCAAAGAGGAAATTTTATCAGAGAAATGAGAAAATGCAGAGACAAAGGAAAACAGTCAAGCAAGACAAAATAATAAGAGTTTAGCCATAAAACAAAGTCAAGGGCCTTTAGTTCCTCCTCAAGGGTTCTAGATAATATTTTGATCCATATCCTTGAGTTGTATTACAGATACTAAAACCTCCACCAGGTGAAAGAAGTTAACTGCATGCTGACCACCAGTGCATAGATCCCAGACTGGCTGGAACCAGAAGGTTGATGATACTGACTTCGATGACCTAACCGCCAACCAATCAGAAGAATGTCCATGCGCCGATGATCAGGCACCCTGTGACCCTCTCCCTCAGCTTGCCTTTAAAAACCCTTCCCTGAAAGCCATCGGGGAGTTTGGGTCTTTTGAGCATGAGCTGCCCATTCTCTTTGCTTGACTCCACATTGGGTGCCTTGCAATAAACGCTGTACTTTCCTTCACCACAACCTGGCATTGGTAGATTGGCTGCACCACATGTGGATGACTGGACCCAAGTTAGATTCAGTCGCAGCATGACACAAAGCAGTAAGCTCTGCAGTTTCTTGCTGGGACTAAACCTGGTAGCTAAAATACCAGTGGGAAAGGGGAATAAATAGAGAAGTGACTTACTTTCCTTGTTATCATGTACTTCCAGGTGAAGATAGTCTTCAAACTCCCGGCGCTTTTGGAGATTAGACATACATCTGCGGTACTTACAAAAGCTCTTGATAAAGCTGATCATCTTCAGCAAGCCTCTCTTCTGCAGAAAGAGAAAGGAGTAAGACATTTTCCTTAGTATAGCCTGCTGTTCACGGGCTGTCTACTATGTGCCAGAAACTTGACATTCAGTACTTTAAAAGGAGTAATTTTTAGTTGCAATTTAAAGGTGAGGAAACTCAGGTCAGAGAGATATCTGATGGTCATTCCCCAGTTTATCTAGCCCTTAATAAATTGGTATCTTATTCTGGGAACGTAATGCAAGTTCTTTGTGGGTGGAAAATCCTGGCTTCACCCAGGCATGGCTGGGACCCTTGGCAATTCTCCAAATTCTACAGTCTTTCTATGGTGATGATTTGAGATGCCATGACTGGGAGAGGAAGTGTGAGAGCTAAAAACAGGAAGAAACAGAGGACAGAGATTAGTGTGACTCATGAGAAAGAAATAATGGCTCAGGCAGATTTTGAAATGTTGAAGAAATAAGGAAATGAGTAAACTATTTTTAAGCAATACTTAAAGAAAAACATAATTACATGCACACACCACACACATACACGGACACAAACAAATGCCTGTTATATTTCTACATCCATTTCTTTTTTTCTTTTCCTTTCTTTTTGGTGGGGAAAGTAATTAGGTTTATTTATTTATTCTTAGAGGAGATACTGGGAATTGAACCCAAGACCTCATGCATGCTATGCATGCGCTCTACCACTTGAGCTATACCTTCCTTGCTGCATTCATTTCTTAATAGATACCCAGTGACCATTCTCCAGTTGTTCTACCCCTTAATAAATTGCTATTTAGAGCCAGAAAGAACCTTGCTGATCAACTAGTTCAGCTGTCTCATTCTGTAGAGAGGGAACCTCAGTGTAAGCTTGGCTTTCGCAAGCCAGTGGTTAAGTACAAAACCACTGGATTTAGTAGCAGAAGCTTTGAGTCTGGAGCCTAGCTTCACCTTAATTGGGTAACTCGGGCCAACTTCCTTATGTCTCAATGTCTCCATGTGTAAGACAGAAACAGCAGCCTTCAGGGCTGTGGTGAAGGTTAGTGATGATATATGTAAATCCCCACGTACAGTGCTTGGCACAAAGTAGGCACTAGGTACACACTGGATCCTTTTCTTACTTTCTTAACTGAGGGCAACCGGAACCCAGAAATGAAAACAAAGCATCCTGGCGCTTTAATATGACACATGATCCTTCGTGGTACCCTGACATGGAGCTTTCCACATATGATGAAATAAAGAGGACGAAGGAGGGAGTGGCACACTTATTGCATTAGTGGGCAGAGGCATTGCTTTTTTCACTATTCTAATGTAATTGTTTTTAATTCAGCCAGTGTTTATATAATTTTATATAGTTGTGATTATAATACACATACAATTTGAGAATCTGCTGTTTTTCTTAAAATTTTTCTCATGTTTTTTAATTGAATGATTCTTGAAACTCTAGAGTGCTTTACAATTCTCAGAAGTTTCACACGTGTGATTTCATATAATCTCATAATAACCCTTCCCGCCAACCCTTATCTGGCCCCTCCCCTCGTTCCTGTCCCCACCGGTAACCCCTAGTTTTTCTGTCCATCTGGGAGTGACACAGGCGTTGTTTTCAGGGGCCTTAGCACGATCTTTAGAGTCAGGCAGAGCCAGGCTCAAATCTTTCTGATAATAACCAATTCTGCGACGCAATGAACAATTGATTAAGAGGAGTGTGTATTTTTTTTCCTCCAACCATATGAAGAGGCTCTTTAATGACATTCCTGTCTCCTCTTTCTTTCCTTTTTCTCTCCTCCCACGGGAGAATGAACTGGATGACTGATGAGTTTGGAAGAGAGAAAAAGACACGCTCTGCTCTTTGGCCTTTTGCGTTCCCTTGGGAGCCGCTGGTCTGCAGACCCCTGTGTTCAAGTCTGCCCTTGGTCGTACAGTAAGGGGCTCACCCAGTACATGGAGGCCTAATTGTTCCGTCATGCCAGTGACTGGATGTGTAAGTAACTAAGTAAGGGTGCAGAAAGGATTATCAAATGTCCTCCAAATTAGCTTTCAGCAGTAAAAAACAAAACACCTGATGCTTTGATCTCCATGCGACCATTCCCATCACTCAACTGGTTCTAATCACAAGTAGCGAGGACAGGGATTTCCTTGCGTTCCCACTAGAGCAATCCCTCTGAGCCACAGATTCCGCCTTTGTAAATGGGGATTTGAAAACCTACCCCAAAGGGTAGTTGTTTTGGTGAATAAAAAAGGTAACAGTGTAGTGACAATGCCTAGACTGTTTTCTTGTCCCCAGTGTCCTGTCGTCACCGTCTTCCGCACTGACCTGGGATCCATGCAGGTAAGTTGCCGTTGTCTTTGAGGACTTCCTGGTCGAAGTTAGGGTTTCACGTTCCCTCTCCTGACGGTGATGTGGGAACAGATCTTGGTAATCTTTAAACCTGCCAACAAAGACGGGAAGGGATAAATTTGGGAGTCCAAGATCTACAAATATTAACTACTATATATAAAAATAGATTAAAAAACAAATTTATTCTGTACAGCACAAGGAACTATATTCAATATCTTATAATAACCTTTAATGAAAAAGAATATGAAAATGAATATATGTATATATGTGCATGACTGAGACATTTATGCTGCACACCAGAAACCGACACACTGTAACTGACTATACTTCAATTAAAATAAGTAGCAAAGGAGGCAAAAACCCGGCACATAAAAGGTAACAGTCAAGGCCAACCTATCACTATGAGAATGGGTTATGAGGCTCCTTGAGTAAGTGGTGGCTTTCAGAAGCCAACCAGCGACTCCAGAGAATCACTGCCTTCTCACTGTCCCCCGAAAACACTCACCACCTGTCTTCCAGAGACCTCATGACATAGCTCTGGAGCAGTAACAACATGGCTGTGCTAATGTGACTCATGTGAGAGACTTCTTTGATAACAGGGGCATCGCACTGCAGTATTTCTTCTAGAAAATGCAGGAGAGAGAAAGAAAGTCATCATTTTCTTGTCTACCATTTCTGATAGCTGGTTTTTGTTTTGTTTTGTTTTTTGTCTTGTTTTGTTTTTTGTTTGTTTGTTTGTTTTTTCTCATCTTAGAGACTTATGGTTCCTTATTCTCAATCTGGTTAGACTCAGCTCGCCACAATTTGTTTGAAAATCTCACAAGCACATTTGGAATGTTATGTGTAAGTGTGTTTGTAGAGCAAATTCTATCCTGGTTTGGTTCCATTCAAATTTCAAAGGTAAGTGCTTAAGGGGAAAGAAATGTTTAAAGGACTCATTTCTGCAGCTCGTTTAAAGTTGTAAGTTTGAAGTTTAGAAAGAGAGTTGAGGAATAAAGGATTAAAGTTAAATGGCTGAGGCAGATGGGAAATCCAAGATTACCAATAAGTATTCTAAGGGCAATATGATTTTCCAGGTGTTCAAAGACTGCTGTGTTCAGTAATAAAACTTAAAAACTTATCAGGGACAGGGTCTACATACTCGTCTTTCTCTTCTAGCTCATTCAAAATGATGCCCAGAACTTGATATCCTGAGACTCAATAAATAAATATTACTTACAAGTAAATACTTGCCAATTTTATCTTTTCTACTTTCATAAAATGTATAATCTTATTCTTGCTTTACCACAAGCCAAATGCACACCAACCTATCTGCTCATCTATTCCAAAATAGGAGGCTTTATCTTCATTGCTTTGCTTTAAGATTTGTTTACCTCCAGGATGGGACCACGCTCATTTCCTTTTGTTTTCCTCTAGCATTATAGGTCAGTACTTGCAACTCTGCTTCTGGCTGAGATGAATTTACATGGGTGAGATTTACCTTCCCGCCTTAGGCAAGAAAGTGAGACAAAATTGATGAAACAAGGATTTTCAGGGAGACAGCTCTCCTTTTCAGTACCTTTCAGTGCTCTTCACAACCTGTGGAGGGTGGGCATGCCAACTGTGCATGCTGCTAACTCTTGTTTTTGTGTCTAACTCCAGTCTGGTTGATTTGAGGATTGAATGACTTGAGTTTGAATTCAAGTTCCAACAATTGGACTAGTTAACTTCTCTGTGTTTTACCTTCCTCATTGGTAAAATGGAGCTATATATCCCTACCTTTTAAGGATTAAATAAAATCCTTCTCTCAGGGTTAAACAAAGCTAAATGAGAGGATATATTTTACATATAAGTGCAAGTGTTTTGCACTTGGCTTCTTTTACTGCTGCTGTTATGTTTTAGATTTATTATTATATTATTATTTCAGCTTTTCTAAAACGATTTTATTTATTATAAAAAACTAAATACTAGCACATGTTGAGAATTTAAGGAAAACTCTTGCTTAAGAACTACAAGCAAATTCTGATTTTAACCAACCATCCGTTTTGTCTTTTCAACATTATACTTCAGAATGGTTACGTATCAAAGAATAACAAAGCAGACAGGTTTGTTTTTTTATTTTGCCTATGCTTCCTTAAGTTCTCCTCTCTTTTCTTGGAGGAAAATAGTGATAAATTTGATTTATTTTTTTCCTTTTTCAAATACTGTATTTTATCACTTATACGTGGAATCTAAAAAATAAAATGAATGACTATAACCGAACAGAAACAGACTCACAGATGTAGAGAACAAACTAGTGGCTACCAATGGGGAGAGGGAAGGTGGGGCAAGATAGGGGTAGGGGATTAAGAAGTACAACATACTTGGTATAAAAGAAGTAAGATACAAGGATATATTATACAGCACAGGGAATATGGCCAATATTTTATAATAACGTTAAATGGAGTTTAAAATATATAGAATCACTATGCTGTACATATGAAACTATTATAAATCAACTGTACTTCAATTTAAAAAAATGGATTTACTGTTCTCTGCTTTCACTGTCCCTCTTTTTGACTGAAGTGTAGTTGATTTACAATGTTGTGTTAGTTTCTGGTGTACAGCATAGTGATTCAGTTACACATTTTTTTTTCATCATAGGTTATTACAAAATATTAAATATAGTTTCCTCTGCTATAACGTAGGAACTTGTTGTTTATCTATTTTATATATAGTAGTGTGTATCTGCCAATCTGAAACTCCTCATTTATCCCTCTCTGCTCGCTGACCTTCTTCATCTTTGTCTCAATACTGCCTCGTGTGGCCACTGCTCTGCTCTGCTGTTTATCTTGTCTCCCGTTCTATGTCTTGAGTCCTGTTCTGTTCTGTCCTGTTCTGTTGTTTCCTGCCTTGGGAAAGACAGGCTCTTTCCCAAACTCTTCTAAGATTTGAAAGGGCAAAGGAAACATTATCAGGAGAGAAAGATGCATACCAGGAGAGTTTTGGCCCTGGAAGAAAGTCTTGACTATGTTTTCAAGGAGAGAATTGTAAATCTTTTCATTCCTCTCAACAGTGATCTTCTGTATGGCCATCAGGAATTGCAATGGGCTGTCAGCCTTCCGTTCTTTCAGGAACTCCATGAAGAACTCCAAGTGGTGTGGGTTTAGGAGGACTTCTGTCAAGTTTCTGGAAAACAAGAAGGCATCACTGGTGGAGAGACAGGGCTGGTGACCCTGGATTCTGCTCTGATTGGGGAATGGGGAAGGGCACCTCCCAGGCTGCAAGGCTCTGGCTGTGACTGAAGAGCAGGGTGAATGAGTTACTCACCTTATTTCCTTGGAGATAAACTTAAACTTTTAGGTACCCATCCTAAGCTTGGTCCAGTCATATGACAACCCCAATGGAAGAGGAGAAGGAGTATTTTAAAGGGGACAGTTTTTTTTTCCAAGAAAATCTTTTTACACTGTGGCTTCAATGGGCAATCATTTCAGTGAGGCAGAGCACGAGTGATCAGCAGTTACTGATCAATATTTCTAAGTTTCCATTACTAATTTCTTCTTTCACGGTTCCTTAAATACAGGTGCCCCTAATGTTTCACCTTCAGTCCTCTTTACTTTTGCCTTATGAACCTTGCCTCCCTCCTCCCCCCAACCGCGGTTAATCTCTGCATCCTCTGTGGTTTCAGTTTTCATTCTTGTGGGGAAGTGGTTTTCATTGATATGGTGAAGTGATTTTCATTGATATGGTGAAACTGTGTCTCTAGTTTCTATGAGCCCCACTTCAGAACTTCAGCTGCCCATTGAACCTCATCTTTATGTCATTGCTATTGTTTCAAGCTCTCCACATAAACCCACAAGTTGTCCAACTTGCTCTTCCTCCATCACACACCTATCTCATTAAGAATGACATTAGCTATAGGTTTTTTAAATAGATGCTCCCTTTTAAAGGATGAGACTGTTCTCTTCTAATTTTACTGAGGTTTTTATTATAAATGGTGCTGGATTTTGTAAAATGCTTTTAATGCATCAACTGAGATAATCAAGTGAAATTTTCCTCCCTTATTTTATTAATATGACACATTGTATTAATTTATTTTTAGATGTTAAATCAATCCTGCATTCCTGGCCAAATCCCACTTGGCCAAGCTATGGCATCCTTCCTACATGTGGGTGAATTTGGCTTGAGGAATTTTATATCTAGATTTAAGACGGACATTGGTCTGTAGTTTTCTTTTTTTGATAACTTTGTTCGTCTTTGGGATCAGGATGCTACTTGCCTGCCTCATAGAATAAGTTAGCAAGTGTCCTTTTCCCCTGTATTTCCTCACAGAGGTCATAGATGATCAGCATTATTTATCCTTTAAATATTTCACAAGTTTTTGCAGTGAAGCCATCTGTGTCTAGACTTTTCTCTGTGAGACTTCAAATTATTAATTCAGTTTCTCCTCTTGTTACAGATTTACTCACATTTTCTATTCCTCAGTCGCTCTTAGAAATTTATCTATTTCATCTAAGTTGTCTAATTTACTCCTTACATTTTCTTACATATGTATTAATTTCTGTAGGGTCAGTGGCCGTGCCCTCTCTTTTTATCCAGATTTTGGCGATCTGTGTCATCTCATTTTTTCTGGTTTTGTCAGTGTAGCTAATGGTTTATCAATTTTGTTGATCATTACCAAAAAACCTACTCACGCCTGAATTTTCTCTATTTTTTCTCTCTGTTTTATTGATTCCCACTCCAATACTTATTATTTACTGCCTTCTACTTACCTTGAGCTTAGTTTGCTAGCATCATCTCACCAACTTTAGTCTCCATTTTCTTTTTTATTGAAGAATAGTTGATTTATAATTTTATATTAGTTTCAGATGTACAACATAGTGATTCAAAATTTTATAGATTATAGTCCATTTAAAGTTATTACAAAATAGTAGCTATACTTCCCTGTGCTGTACAATGTATCCTTGTTGCTTGTTTATTTTATATGTAGTAATTTGTATCTCTTAATCTTCTACCCCTATCTTGTCCCTCCCAGCTTCCCTCTCCCCACTGGTAACCACTAGTTTGTTCTCTGTATCTGTGAGTCTGTTCTGTTTTGTTTATATACATTCCTTTGCTTTATTCTTTTAGGTTCCACATAAAACTGATAATGTAGATAATGTAGATAATATTTCACTCAGCATAATACCATCTAGGTCCATCCACATTGTTGCAAATGACAGAATTTTTCTTTTTTTATGGCTGAGTAACATTCCATGGTGTGTGTGTGTGTATCACAACTTCTTTATCCATTCATCTGTTGATGGACACTTAAAAATGCTTGAGATAATTTCTAGCCTCTTAAATTTGTTGAGACTTATTTTGTGGCCTAACATGTGATGTATCCTGGAAAACATTCTGGGTACACTTGAAAAGAATGTGTATTATGCTATTTTTGGATGGAATGTCTTATAATATCTATTAAGTCCAATGGTCTAATGTGTCATTTAAGACCACCATTTCCTTACTGATTTTCTGTTAGATGGTCTGTCCGTTGATGTAAGTGGGGTGTTAAGGTTTCCTAGTATTATTGTATTACTCAATTTTGCCCTTTATAAAAGTCTGTTAATATTTGCTTTACATATTTAGCTACTCCTGTATTAGGTGCATATATGTTAACAAAGGTTATACCTTCTTCTGTGTTAATTCCTTTATTATTATATAATGCCCTTCTTTGTCTTTGGTTATATAATTTGTTTGAAAGTCGATTTTGTCTAATATGAATATTGCTACCTCCACTTTCTCATTGTTTTCATTTGCATGAAATCTTTTTCCATCTTGTCACTTTTAGTCTGTGTGTGTGTCCATGACTTTTGGTAGGAATGTAGTTTGGTGCAGCCATTATGGAAAATATTAAAAACTGAAAGTAGACTTACCCGATGACCCAGCAGTCCCACTCCTGGGCATATATTTGGAGAAAACTCTAATTTGAAAAGATGCACGCACCCCAATGTTCATAGCAGCACTATTTACAATAGCCAAGACATGGAAACAACCTAAATGTCCATTGACAGATGACTGGATAAAGAAGTTGTGGTATATTTACACACGGAATATATGCTACTCAGCCATAAAAAAGAATAAAATAGTGTCATTTGTAGCAGCATAGATGGACCTGGGGATCGTCCCACTTTTAGGATTAAGCAAAATAATCCAGAAAGAGAAAGAAAAATATCATATGATATCACTTATATGTGGGATCTAAAAAAAAAAAAAAGACACAAATGACATTATTTAGAAAACAGAGACACACTCACAGACATAGAAAACAAACTTATGGGGGAAATGCAGTGGGGAAGAATAAATTGGGAGTTTGGGGTTTGTAGATACTAACTACTATATATAAAACATTAAAAAAACAAGGTCCTACTGTACAGCAGAGGGAACTATATTCAATATCTTGTTATAGCCTAAAATGAAACAGAATATGAAAAAGCATATATATATATATATAAGCTTTTTCATTTATATATATAAATGAATCACTATGCTGTACACCAGAAATTAAGACAACATTGTAAATTGACTGGACATAAATAAGTGAATAAATAAATAAATAAATATTAAAAAATGGCTGAATGAATTGTCATGATTTACAACAAATTATAGTCAAGTTGAGAAGGTAGAAAACATATCTAAAAATTAAAGAGCAGTAAAAACTAGTACACAGTAAGTTCTTGATGTTATATTTTAAGGGTTTAGTATATCAGAGAGGGAAGTCACAGCAGGTATACAACTGGAGAACTTTTTCCGCAGAGATGGAACTTGTGCTAAGGTAAGTGGAAAGAGATGTGAGTGGGCACTCCTGAGAGAAAAGGGCCACAGAGCCTTTCCTTGGCAGTGAGACCTTAGGGAGGCTGACTCTAAGGTTGGCTATGAGGGGGAGAGACAAGAATAAGGAGCCAGGTAGGAGGTACTACACCAATACGCAATCCAGAAAAGCACAACCTGGCGAGGCCACATGTACAAAGACGTTTATTGGGGTATTATTCACAGCAATGAAAAATTAAAGCTGATGTAAATGTCCATTAACAATATATAGTTAAGAGATTTCCGGTCAAGGTGGTGGAGTGGCAGGACCACAGCTCGCCTCTCCTCGTGACTACAACAGAACCACAACTGACTGCTAAACAACCATCGGAAAGAAGACTGGAACCTAACAAAAAAGATCTTCTGCAACTGGAAACATAAAGAGGGAACCACAGGGGGACGGTAGGAGGGGTGTTCTCACAATATAATCAGGCCCCATACCCCTGGGGTGGGCGACCCACAAGCTGAAGGATAATTAAGCCGCAGAGGCCCTCCCACAGGAGTGAGAGCTCTAAGTCCCACGTCCGGCTCCCCAGCCTGGGTTCCAGCATTGGGAAGGGGAGGAGACCCCAGGACGTATGGTTTTGAAGGCCAGTGGGGCTTAACTTCAAGAGCCCCATGGTACTGGGGGAAACAGAGACTTCGTTCTCTTGGGATGCATACACAGAATCTCACGGGGCAGAGGCAGTGATTTCATAGGACCTGGGCCAGGCCTGCCTGTTGGCGTTGGAAGGTCTCCTGGGGATTTAGGGGATGGCTACGGCTCACCCAGGGGACATAAAAGCTGGTGGAAGACATTTCAGGAGTGTTCATCTATATGAGCTTTCCTGGAGGCTGACATCTTGATTGGATCATTAGCACCAAGACCTAGCCCCACCCTACAGTCTGTAGGGAAGTGTCAGGCCAAACAACATGCAGGGTGGGAACAGAGCCCCACCCATCAGAAGACTTCCTGAGCCACCAAGGCCTCTAGACAGGGCCCTACCCACCAGAGGGCCAGGACCAAACTTCACCCAGCAGTGGGAAGGCACTGGCTCCTCCTGCCAGGAAACCTGCATAAACCTCTAGTCCAGCCTCATCCACCAGGGGCAGGTACTAGAAATAAGAAAAGAACAATCCCAAAGCCTGTGGAAGGAATCCACAAACACAGGCCAGACTCCACCCTGGGCCTGGCTGGACCCTGGCCCTTGGGTGCCAAGAGGGGAGTGCACTGCTGGGACACATAGGACGTCTCCCACAGAGGGCCACCTCTCCAAGGTTGAGAAATGTGACTAAGCTACCTAAAAATACAAATAGAAAGACAGACTATATGAAGAAGCAGACGAATATTTTCCAGGCCAAGGCACAAGATAAAATCCCAGAAGAAGAAATGAGTGATGAGGAGACAGGCAATTTATCTAAGAGTTTAAAGTAAAGATGGTGAAGATATTTAGAGAACTCAAGAGGAGTATAGATGCACAGAGAGAAGTTTTTAGCAAAGAGTTGGAAAATATAAAGAACACCCAAACAGAGTTGAAAAATAAAATCACTGAAATGAACAACACACTAGAAGGAACCAGGAATAGACTAAATGAGGCAGAAGAATGGATCAGTGAGCTAGAAGACAGATTAGTGGAAAATCACTACCGCAGAACAGAAAAAGAAGAAAGAATGAAAAGAAATGAGGACAGTTTAAGAGAACTCTGGGACAACATGAAGTGCACTAATATTCACATCATAGGGGTTCCAGGAAGAGAAGAGAGAGAGAAAAGACCTGAGAAAGTTTTTTGGAGCGATAGTCACTGAAAACTTCCCCAACTTGGGAAAGGAAACACTCACCCAAGTCCAGAAGTGCAGAGAGTTCCACACAGGATCAACCCAAAGAGGAACACACCGAGGCACATAGTCATCAAATTGATAAAAATTAAGGATAAGGAGAAGATATTATAATTAACAAGAGAAAAGCAACAAATAACACACAAGGGAACTCCCACAAGGTTATCAGCTGATTTTTCACCAGAAACTCTCCAGGCCACAAGGGTGTGGCAGGACATACTTAAAGCAATGAAAGGAGAGAATTTACAACCAAGAATACTCTACCCAGCAAGGCTCTCATTTAGACTTGATGGAGAAATCAAAAGCTTCACAGATAAAAGCTAAAAGAATTCAGCACCACCAAACCAGCCTTACAACAAATGCTAAAGGACCTTCTCTAGTCATCAAACCGTACGTAAGAAAAGAGAACAAAAAGAAGAAAGAGAGAGGGAAAAAAAGGTGTACAAAAGATTGCTTTGGCAGTTCGGGGTCTTTTATGGTTTCTTATAAATTTTGGAATTGTTTGTTCTAGTTCTGTGAAAAATGTGAATATTTTGACAGGGGTTGCACTGGATCTGTAGATTGCTTTGGGTAGTATGGCCATTTTGATAATGCCGATTCTTCCAATCCAAGAGCACAAGGTATCTTTCTATTTCTTTGTATCTTCTTCAGTTTCCTTCATCAATGTTTTACAGTGTTCAGAGCATAGATAACCTCCCTATTTAAGTTTATTTCTAGGTATTTTGTTGTTTTTGATGCAATGGAAATGTTTACCCCAGTTATAAAATTCTGGTTTTTGAAGTGAAAAAAAAGTGAATGAAGGGCCTCAAGTGGCAAAATATGCTCCTTTTTTATGGGTGAGTTTTATTCCATCACATATATATGCTGTATCTTCTTTATCCATTCATCTATTGACATGCACTTAGGATGCTCCATATCTTGTTAATTATAAATAATGTTGCTGTTAATAGCAGGGTGTATGTATCCGTTTGAATTAATTTTTATTTTGTGGTTGGCTTTATTCCTTTGATCACTAAGTAAGTTTAAAAAGCTAAAGCTCTAAATTTCTTAGAAAGAATGAACAGCACATACATGTAAATTAAAAAATATGTGCAGTATATTGTGTATATGTATTTACATGCAATACATTGTATATGTGCAGTCAAATTGTAACAATTCTATGTAATAAAACCGAAAACTGAAAAAAAAAAGTAGTTAAATAAATGATGCTACATCCATACTATGGAAGGAGGTAGATCTATTCATACTCACATGAAAGGATACCCATGATAAGTCAATACGTTTAAAAAAGTAATTCTATAATATAGAGAGCACGGGGCCAATTTTAGAAAATAAATAATGATTTGTGCATGTATGTATGATTAAAGACAGCCTGTGCCCGGACATGTGGCCATAGCCAGATCCTATGTCCTACCTGGGTCTTACTGAGGGCTTCCTTAAAGCAGTCTTTCTGAAGCGCGACATTTTCCTACGCGAGGTTGAAAGCATCCTTGGTTCTTCGACAATTTTCACTGTAAAATCTAATTTAAAAAATCACAATATTGGGGGACACCGTGTTATAAAGAACATTGCAGAGATTAGGAGGGTACAAAGTAACAAGGGCGTTAATCATACATCGAATGCACGGGGAAGAGCCAGAGTCCCCATAAGTGCTGCCCTCTCGGGCCGTCAGTGCCAATTTCCACCGCTGATACTCGCGCCAGTCCAGTGTTATCTAGGTCTGTCGGCCATTAGGCAGGGCTCGCCTTCCTCAGAAGACAGCTGAGACCAAGTCCATCATACTTCTCATTTGAACTCCAAACGTCCCCCCTCTCTCAGTCAGCCGTTGGTACTACCATACTCCTCACGGCAGTCAGTCTTCCTTGACACCTCTGCTCCCCTATCCTAAACCCCTCCCCTCGCCCTCTGGATCTCCTGCTTCGTAACCAGCCAACACCTGCAGGCGCTTGATCTCTTCATGAAGAGTATCCTCCACCTTCTTGCTTTACCTGAAACGTTCTCTTATCTGAGGACACCGCTTCCACTGCAAGCTTCTCAAGTGGGATTGCACCACACCACACACAATTCAGGGTGGGCATCTGGCTCCCCACGGCCATTTAGAAACCATTATTTAAAAAAAATAAATGAAAACATTACTATTGAAGAGTAGTAGGCTCCCAGGATCTCAGTATTAGAAGAGCCCTTTGAGCTTAATATTGTAGAATAAAGTACAGATTCTCAACTCACTAGGGGTAGGGATGGCATGTTACTCAGCTCACCCCCCAAATTAGAACGTAGCCTAGTTTATGCTTTAAAACGTTTGTTAACTAGATGGTAGCCCACAGGAAATTTGGGGGCGGTTTGCTAATGTTTTTAGTAACAGCATACAAAAACGACTGAAAGCAATAGAACTACATACTGGATCTAAATAAATGCAATTGAGTAGGTAAAAAATAAAATCCAGACAATCAAACGTTAGGTATAAAAACCCCAAAAAACAAAAAACCAAAGAAACCCCAAACACTTAGAAGTGTTGGATGAAAACACACACCTTTTTAAACTTGAAAGCAAACGTGTAAGGAATTAAGATAAAACATGTGGAGATTAGAAACAAAGGGAGTGCTGGAAACCAGAAAGGTAGGCGGACACCAACGCGCTAGCTGCCTTAGAGGTGTCTGCAGGCTGAAGCCTCAGCAAGACAGAAGACGAGGCTACAGGCCTTTAGAAAATGGGCCGAAAGACCCTTCCAGTGCTGCTTTTACCCTAAAGGCACTGGGCAATTATGACAACTGCTGCTGAGAAACTGAGTAAAGCTTTGGCAGACTTTCAGGGCAGAAGGGGAAAAAAAAATGCAAAACAGCAAAGGAGAAGAGGCCCTGCTAAACGCCCTGGGTTTCAGCTGGGACCGCACACAGTCAGGGAAAACAGAAACAGCTCATCCACCAGAAGGGATGAACGCAGCTTTGAACCAACTCAATCCCTAAATGGATTAAGGGTCTCTGGATGCTATTAGCTCAGTATATACCAGAAGGAAAAAATCTCTGGAGGAAAATGACGTCACCCAGAGCCTCAAATTACCTCTACAAATTTATACCAATAATGTTCACAAATAAAACAAATAATAAGGTATTTAAAAACATGTGACCAAAAATCAAGGGGAGAAAACATGACGTTTGACATGTAGACATGTATAGATATTTCCAGCACAGACAGGAGATCCAAATATGGACTTTAATTACTATTATTAACATACATCAAGGAGATAAAAGAGAACAAGGGAATCATCAACACAGACTGAATATCAAAGAAAAAAAATGGAAATTCTAAAAAATAAAAAAGTTTAGTGACAGAAACTTAGAAAATTAAGAATTAATAAAACGTTTAATGACAAATGACACAGCTGAAGTGAGAATTGTACTAGGAGTTAGATAAAAGTAAAATATCCAGACTGAAACAGAGAGAGAAAATACAAAAACAATACAGAAAAAAGCATATACGACATACGGCTAAAATTTCAAAAATATATGTAGTAAGGTCATCAGAAGGAGGGGAGAGATTAAACAGGGCAGGACAAATATTTGAAGAGGTAATGACTGAAATTCCCCTAAAACTGACAAAGAACACCAAGTTAGAAATGCAGAAAGTCCTAACACCATGAATGGCATAAATATTTAGGCGCATCATAGTGAAGCTGCGTAAGAGCAAAGACAAACAGAAAAAAGGGGATGAGTGGAGGGAAAAAGAGAAACATTTCCTTCTACTGAGCAATGTCAGTGAAGGCTGAAGTCTGACTCCTCAATGTGAACTAAGGAAGCCAAGAGACAACAGAATAACAGCTTCAAAGTGCTGAGAAAAATAACTCCAACAAGAATTCTACATCCAGAGACTATGTTCTTCAAAAATGAAATCTACAACATAGAGATGGGCTGTTGCCCCACACAAAGTTCAAGGGCAAGCCACAGGTGTGAAACTTCTGGGCATGAATTGGTCCTCTAAAGGATGGGACATTCTGTTTGCAGTTAAACGTCAACTGTTTACACTTCAGCCTCATGCAACATGCCTTAGGCCCCTTCACCACACTTGTCCATCATTCTCAGACACATTTATGCAGTCACATGCAAATCCACATCTTATTGGAGACAAGCTTAATAATGGTCTTTATAGGAGGCACAAAGGTCAATTCCTCAAGCTCTTCCCCGATTCCCCTGGCTCCCCCTTTTGGGTTGAGGCACTGGCCACCATGGACCGTGCGTCCTGGAGTCTGCAGACTAAACACAGCTCCTCTTGGCTGCTCTCCACAGCCATCTCCTCATGCTCCCTTAGAACATCAGATTCTTCTGCTTGTCGGGCTTTGGGAGACACAGAGGCTCTCGTAGGAGTGGAGCCTGTTGTCCTCCGTACCCATGTTCCTGTCACGTCATGGATAAGGCACGTCCCCCAACAGTGGCTCAGCACGACCATATCCACCTCCTCACAGGAAAATGGTACCTTCAGGAATGGGCTAAGCCTGACACGGCAGGTCTTTCCAAATACAGGAGGATGTGACTTCCCCAGTCCTGACCCTGAGGGGCTGGTGAGGGCGCCCCTGTTGCCCAGACCTCTGGTGACCTGGGCTAACCCCTGGGAAGAGCTGACGGAACAAGAAAGGGAGACCATGTATTACACGGTGGCAGTGCCACCATCGTGTGCGGTGGAGCCTGCTTATCAAAGACAGCAAGTCGGGGTGATCTCAGCTTCCTGAGCCCGTGGTGGTACAGACGGCCGTGCAGAGCGCCACTGCCCGCGGAAAGGCTCTGTGTGTATTTTTACTGACTCGTGAGCAGTTGCTAATGAGCCAGTGGTTTGTTAAGGCCAATGGCAGTGGGATGATTTTCACGATCAAGGCTGTCCCATTTGGGGTACCCCAATTTGGAGGAACCCTCCCCCAGCACCAGTCATAAATAAGGTTGCACCTGCTCCGACAGACACAAATGCTACCACACCAGAGGCTGTCTTCAATCTCAAAGTGGCATGCCTGTCTGAATCCAGTTCACCACCTGCTCAGGACTCTCAACCACCAACTCTTCACCAAGTCCATCAGCTCCACCCACCACCAGAAAACCATAACACCCCCAGTTTCCCCACCCCATCCCCACCATTCTGGCCCTTCCTAGTCACCACTTTATACTCTTTATTCTCTGGCTGAACGGTCCCGTCTCTCTCTAAGTCATGGGGGAGCTGCTGCCACGCTGGCCTGGGCCTGCTGCACGGGTGTTCCATGGACCGCAGCCCTTGCAAAAATTGTTTTAAATTGCAAATTATGCTCCCAAACCAAACACTGGAAACTGCCTTGGCAAGCTCCAGTTCTGCAAGGGGGTCTTTCAACGGCTGGTGAGTGGATTGCACGGGGCTGCTGCCTCCATCTGCAGGCACCACCTGCTTCACCAGTGCATGTGCGGATGCCTTCCCCGGCCAGCAGCTAGCCACGTCTGCCAGGACGCCTCTGCTGAGCGGGTAATCTCTTTTCCAAATACATCCTGCCCCTCTTGGCCCTCCCGACATCACGGACTCAGGTCAGGGATTTACCTCATCTTACTGCCTGTACAACCCAGCACTGGGCTCTCCAACGGGGCATCCCATGGAACTTTCATTTCCCACACTGGCCAGAGACCTCTGGCATTGCTGAATGCCACAGTGGTCTTCTAAAATTCTTGTTCCCTAAGCTACAGGGCCGTAAAAGGGCTCCTTGCTGCTAAAAGCACTTATCAGTTAAGCTCTAGCCACAAGGCCACCACGCTCCTTGTCCCAACTGGGTTGGCCAGGCCGTGTTGCTTATGATCATTAATATGGTGGAATCTAATGCCTTCATCTTACAGAACAATATTATTTACATTTTCCCCAGCAATTTTGGGTCTCCTTGCAGATTTAAGATGTTGATCATCTCGCCTTCCAGTATTCACCAGCAACCTGACCGGGGAAGGGCGGTTAGCTGGGGTCCCCTGGCCCATTAGAAGAACACGCACTCACCACGCTGCTGCTGGGTTACACGTTGACGCGTGGCATTTATAACCCTTGGCCCTACCCCACCCTTGAGGAGGGGCCCCCAACAAGTGGCTGACCCACAGGGGCCCTATGATCAGTGTTCACGTGGGGCAGTCAGTGGGCAGGCACGAAACTGCGAAGTGCAGGCCCTTGCCACTGTTGCCTTTACTCTGTGCCTTTGTGCCATCTGGGTCATGGGGCTTCTCCTTAAACCCGGAGAGGCGACACTAGAAATGAGCTGGAACTGCGCAGTGTGCGCCACAACTGCACCTGGGATGGGGGTAGGCAAGTGGTGGAAGTTCAGCCCTAGAGGGGCTGCACCCGAAATGCCCTGAGGCACGGATGCCAGCTGGGTGATTCCGGCCCTCTTTCTTAAATGGGACCAATGGCACAAATGCTTGAAGGCCGCCAGCCCTGCCCAAACAGTCACCTGCATCCTGACCTCTGGGCACTGGCCACAACACTGCCCTGCTTTTAACCCTAATTGGCTGAGAGGCTTATGCAGTTCAGACCCACCTCT